TGTGACATCACACACACGCTCTGGCTCCAGCATCCTGTTTCCACTCGACTGATTCCTGGCGTGGCACCAGAAAGAGGAAGAGAGGGAGGAGGAGCAGAGAAGGAGCGGAGGAAGAGAAAGGCTGATCCGCTAGAGATCAGACAACCGGGGAGGAAACGCCTCGATATCCAGAGAATCCCGCTGATCCCAGACTTGTGTTTAATGCAGGAAGAGATGGAGCCTGAAGAGAACCACATCTATCTGCTGCTGCTGCTGATTGGATCCCACTTCACTATGGTAACAGCATCCTTTCTGCCCGTATGGGCTCTGCTCATATGCTCTGAATGTTCTGTTTGTGCCCGGCCGTGTTCCCCTGGTTTGGGGATTACCAGGGGAAGTATTATTTCATTATCAGGGAACTCAATGTGCCTCCACAACATCAGGTCTGGAGTTTTAATCCTGAAGCTCTCCCTTTCTGTGAAACTACTCTGAAAAGATGAGGATCTTAGATTAGCTGTAAAAATAGACGAGCTAGCAGCAAAACAGCCAACCATCGGAACCACTTCTGTAAATGTCATTTGTCAAATGTTCTGAAAACATTGAAGCTAAAGACCTTTTAGATCACGTCCTATTCAACAAATACAAACAAAAAAAAACAGAAGAAATGAGAAGTTAGTCCCAGCAGACCGGGTAAGCTCTTCACATTCTAACCCTAACCCTAACCGTAACACTGTGCTGGACAGGAGGAGGAAACACATTTGGAATATGAGCATCAGGAAATCTGAGCTGCTATCAGCAAGAGATGAGAGGCAGCAGTGAAAGAGCCTCAGCTGCTTTCCAGGAGTCAGCAAAGTCTAGTTTGAGCTTTAACTTCACCTCACCTGATGTGAACTCAGTTGTTCTTACTCATTTTGCACATTTCAAACTTCCATTTGCTTCGGTCGAATAAAAATCCAGCTTTCATGTTTGCTTTGATTAGGAATACGTTAAGACTAAAATGATGAAATTCCCAGTGAGGTTGGGGTTAATGCAGCTGGCCTCTGGGTACAGAACAGAATAGTTTGGGTTTCAGTAAAACAGCAAAAGGCAGCGTTGTTCATCTTTAACCACACCTTAAAATCAGCCTTAGATAGAGTGGAGGAAACTGTCCTCAGATCAGATTCAGTGACACAGAAAATGGGTCATGCTGTTGTAATAAATCCAGCCAGCAGAGGGAAGGAAAGGCTCTGTCAATGTGAATTATTGAAAAGATTTTAGTGTAAAAAAGGGTTAGGATGTGGGTTTCACAGAACAGATTCTAATGTCTGCACAAAGCATCCTCTCACTCCTCCTGATTCCCCACTAAAGCAGCCTCTTCCGGTCCATCCTGACCAACGCTGTGGACTTTGTCCCTAACCCTAACCCTAACCCTAACCCTGACAGGTGGGGCCTGCCCCCCCAGAGGAGGGCTGGCAGGTGTACAGCTCGGCTCAGGACGCTGAGGGCCGCTGCGTGTGCACGGTGGTGGCGCCGCCGCAGACCGGCTGCTCCAGAGACGCCCGCAGCAAGCAGCTGCGCCACCTGCTGGAGAAGGTAGGACCTGCACCCACACAGAGCTCTGGCCAGCCAGAGTCCAGGGCTCGGCTGGCTTCAGTTTAGCTCGGCTCTAATCAGCTCCTATTCTCAATTCAATTCAAAAGTTTATTTCAAACCTGCACACATCTCAGAACATAAATAGTGACAAACAATACAAATGCATGGCTTGAAAAGGGGATGGAAGAAGCCGAAGCTTATGCATGTCCATCCCCTCCCGCTCATCCCAGGGACACTCACCAAGACCTGTAAACGAAAAAACAAAGACAAACAACACATCCACACTCATGCATACAAGACAACACACTGGCCCTGAGATCACATTCATAATTCACTCAAAGAACCATCAGTCCAATTCATCCAGAGCCTGTTCTACTAGTTTTCTCTTCATGGAAAACAACAGATGCTTCTGTCTTTGTTCCTACAACCATCCTAAGCACGCGTCAGAGCCTGAATCAGAGAGAACTCATTACAGTGGCGCTTGTCATTCAAGGCTTTGCATGTGAGTAGCAGGCCTTTAGGCTCCATTCTGAGTCTAACGGGGCCGGTGAGGAGGAGCCAGACAGCCGGGGCCTGATCAGAACTCTGCTGTGGCTTTATGCTAAAGTAGACCAGGCTCTGACAGGGTCTTGGCTTGGACAGGAACAAAGAGCCACAGCAGTCCAGACTTGTCTGAATATCATTGTCATCCAGCTTTTTATGGCTAACTATTATTTTCTTCTGTCCTGCAAAATATCATTTGGAAACGTGACAGGAGTGTTAGTTTCATGCAGAGTGTTTTATGACCTGTGTTTTCAGCCCCATTTTACATGTCAATAAGTATTTGATGTGATTTACTATGAACCAGGTTCAGAACATGAGTCAGTCCATCGAGGTTCTGGACCAGCGAACCCGAAGAGATCTGCAGTTTGTGGAGAAGATGGAGGTCCAGCTGAAAGGCCTGGAAAACAAATTCAAGCTGGTGGAAGATGGCCATGAGAGCAACATTGCCCGGCAGTATAAGGTACTGCCTCCTCCTGTTGGAACAGTGAAGGGTTGACTTGTGTGAGCCAAAGGAGCAGCTCTGCTCCGTGACCCGTCCATCGGGTCTGGGACCAACACTTTGGGTTTGACTTTAGTCCCTGCTTCATCATCTGGTTCAGTGTCTTTGATGTGCCCCTCACACAAAGACGTAGACCCAGCAGCTGTGGGTCAGATGGATGAAGCCCTAATCATCTCTTTTGCCCTATGTCAGTCCATCAAAGCGAAAATGGAGGAGCTGCGTCCCCTCATCCCGGTTCTGGAGACCTACAAGGCGGACGCCCTGCTGGTGCAGCAGTTTAAGGAGGAGGCCGCCAACGTGACGGAGCTGCTGGGGGCGCTGCAGGAGCAGCTGGGGGGGCTGGACTACCAGGAGCTGCACGGCCGGGTGATGAACCTGGAGGACCGCCTGAGGGCCTGCATGCAGAGACTTGGTGGGTTTCTGAATTTAGACCGGCTTCTGGGATTATTCTTTCATTTAGGTTTAGCCAACATCTGAAACCTTTAGTGAATTAAGACTGATACTCATCAGTTTGAGAAAAAGCCTTTCAAGAACATGTAGAGTTCTGCCCTTTCATTTCTGATTGTGATGCAGCTCCTGGTTAGCTGTGATGTTAACGCTAATGTTGGATGTGTATTGGAGATTGTTTTGGATAAAAGCATCTGCTCCTTGTAGAAACGCAACAGAACATTTCAGACTTTTAATGCTGGAAAAAGGAAAACCGGAATTTGATTGAAGTGTCATCTTACTTCTAATCCCCTCTAATGTTCCCAATGATCTTTTAGCCTGTGGCAAGCTGACGGGAATCTCTGAGCCAATCACCATCAAGACTTCAGGCTCCAGATTTGGCTCATGGATGACCGACCCACTGGCTCCACCTGGAGACAACAGAGTGAGTGTCTCCAACACATGAACAGCACCATGAATCACAGACACAGCAGCAGAGTTCGGACCGTGGGGTTAGGGTTAGGGTTAGGGTTAGGGTTAGAGATGTCACAGAAAATGGATCTCCAGAAAACAGCTGGAGTAAAGCAGTAAGAAAGCTCACCAGCAAAGTCTAAACTGAGAGTCGCTGTGGAAACCCTAACCCACATCACTGTAGAGGTCCAGGGACCTAGGTAAGACCCAAAGGGGCCTCTGGAAAACCCAGGAAAGTCCCAGACCAAAGGGGTTAAGGGACACGGCCAGGCTGGGCTGGACAGGCCACAGAGAGGGAACCATCCTCTGGAAAACCCAGAGCAGGATTTAGACCCCAATGTCCTGGAGAAGCTCAGAGGCCCAACCCAGAACTGGGGAACTAGGAAACAGGAAGTCACCGGCACAGAGGCTTCGAACCTAAACAGTAAAACACTTTCAGGAGTGAAAGCCACTCCTCAGAGTGCCTCCAAGTCCCGACTAAACACCCAGGGAAAATAGAAACGCCAATTATGTCGGAACCTAACGAGTAAAATGTCCTTATTTGTTCAGCTTTTTATTTCCAGCTGGACTTTTTGCTGTTTATCTGTAAAAGCTGAGCTACAACTTTGTAGTCCAAATGGATGAAGACAGTTTTCTAATGAGCTATCAGCAGATGCAGACGCATCTTTCAGGACCTGAAATGAAGGAGGACATGCAGGGGTTGAATGGTGGAGTTTCGTCAGGTCCGGGTTCCCACACCCGGTAAAACTATGAAGATTTACTTAGGGTTAGGGCTAGGGTGAGGGTTCCCTCCCTGACAGAACGTGTCAGAGAGGGAAGAGGTCCAGGAGGACTGCTATCCTATAGCTCAGAATCAGAAAGCCCATCAGGAGACTAAGAATCACTCTGTTCAATAGTGAGCTTAGGGTTAGGGAGATGATGGGTTAGGGTTAGGGTTCACGACTGGGGTCTCCAGGACCTGATGATGTTCATGTCACAGTAGATGATCTGTGTGTCGTCTCAACAGGTGTGGTACATGGATGGTTACCACAACAACCGCTTTGTCAGGGAGTACCAGTCCGTGCAGGACTTCATGACCACGGATAACTTCACCTCCCACCGGCTGCCCCATCCCTGGTCCGGCACTGGCCAGGTGGTGTTCAATGGCTCCATCTACTTCAACAAGTTTCAGAGCCACACCATCATCAAGTTTGACTTCAGCACATCTGTCATCAGCCGCTCCCGCCAGCTGGACTTTGCTGGGTACAACAACATGTATCATTACTCCTGGGGGGGCCACTCTGATATCGACCTGATGGTGGACGAGGGCGGGCTCTGGGCTGTGTATGCCACCAATCAGAATGCTGGTAACATAGTGCTGAGCCAGCTAAACCCCAACACTCTGCAGATCATCCGCAGCTGGACCACCAACCATCCCAAGCGCAGTGCAGGGGAAGCCTTCATGATCTGTGGAACCTTGTACGTCACCAACGGGTACTCCGGGGGAACCAAGGTCTACTACGCCTACTCCACCAACTCCTCCACCTACGAGTACATCGACATTCCTCTCACAAATAAATACAGCCATCTGTCCATGCTCGACTACAACCCCAGAGACAGAGCGCTGTATGCCTGGAACAACGGTCACCAGGTGCTTTACAACGTAACGCTCTATCACATCATCCAGTGACACTCATACCAGCTCACTATCTTCTAGTCCACCCACATCTCCATTTCCCATCCACACACAGCTCTTTACAATAAAGCCTGCCATTCCCTGACTGGTGGAGAATCCAGAGAAGACTCATCAGGAAAAATTCTGTGCTTCCAGAATGGAGAGAGGTAATTGAATCGATCAGATATTGATATCTTATTGCTATCTAACGAACCTGGGCCGAACAAACCCACTCCAGTGGGTCCAATTCTGTCAGATCCCACCAGCTTTCTCCTTTCTTTGATCAAAGTGAGTAATCACCGAAATGGTAAGCTGTGAGTTGGACCTCGTTTAATAAACCCCCCCCCGCCCCCCCAGTGTGCAGCTGTTAGCAGACAGGCGGCTCTCCAGGGTTCTGTTTGAAATATAACAGGAGCCCTCACAGAGCTGGGATGTCTGATTTCAGTTCAGCTGAATCCAGAATAGGAGCAGGACTGTTAACCAGGTCTAAGTAAAACCAGCAAGCGTGTCAAACCCAGGTTCAGCCTGCCAAAAACAGGTTGGATGTCTAGTGCTGAAGGGAGCTACTGTAATCGTCCACACAGTCTGGTTCTTAAAGTTCAAAGTTTCTGACCTCTCTCAGTACTGGAATCCCCCCCAAACGCTGGACTGTTAACTTAGAGAATGTGTACTTTTATTAACTGAATGTTGTGTCATTTTAGAGCACTGTTTACGTTAAGAAGTCAGAGTTTGACACAGTTTGATGTGAATTTAAGCAACACGGTGAAGTTAGATCTTCTCAACCTTAAATCTTTGAATGGTTTTTCTTGGAGCATAACACTAGCCTTTTCTTTGCTTTCTTCTGTGGATCATTTTCTATGACTAGATTTGTGGATGTTATTCAGATGTAATGTCTTTTCTTACTGTTATGTATCGAACAGCAATACAAAACGTTTCTCTCTTTTTCAGTAGTTCACTTGATTTTTACTCATTTCTGACAGCTGGAGCAGCCCCCCCCCCACAGTTGTTCTTAGTCCTCCATCATTCCAGTGATTCCACTGGAATGAAAACTACATTCAGCAACCCAGCTGGAGGTATGTCTGAGGGTTAAGCTAGGGCTGTATGATCTTCTCATTCTGATGGGGATGTAGCTGAACAGCTTGATAAAATGATCTGTGAAGATCCTCAGTCCTGCAGGTCCAGCTCTAAAGTCCGGTCAGCAGCTGGAGCTGGTGTCCCCTGATCCAGCAGCGGCTGCAGCTCTCACTAACCCATAGGGGGCTCTGGCCCCTCCTGCTGGGGGCTATGGAGGTCGCCTATGCACAGTGAAGCTCAGTCTCACATAGGTCCAGATTCAAACTGGATGACCTAACCCCCCCCTAACGCACACGGTGTGGTACTGCCTGGTATTGGTTAGGGACAGGAGTCATTCAGAACGCCAGTCGGTCCCCAGAACCCAGAAAAGACGGGGAGCCCTGATCAACCCCCCAGCCCATGCCCCCCAGGCCACCTCCATGCCCCCCCAGCTGCCAGTGCTTTTCCTAAGGAGCCGAGTCCGTAGTGATGCTGAGCAGTCAGAGTTCAGGAAATGACTTATTCTGGAACAGTCCGTTCAGAACCTGAGTCCAGAGGCACACATCTGTCTGCAGATGTTCAGCTGGCTGGTGGCAGAGCCAGAGCTGATGCTGCTGAAGGGCCTTTTGCTGGTGCCCCGCCCCTCCTGCAGCCAGACCCCCCCCCCGGCTTACAGGCTGGTCACTAGCCTCTGCAGAGCTAACGCGCCTCTGGACCTCCGGAGCACAGACGCCGTGTGGATGGGACTGGATGGGAAACCGTGTCTTCCCAAACCTTTTGTCCCACATTTTGCTAAACTGACACATGGGTTGGAGCACGTGTCAAAAGGGGGAGTGTTGCACTCACTCTGCACTGGTTCACAAGAGGGTTTAGGTCTTATGCACAGAAATCCTGTCAATCGTGCATGATTTGTGGCAAACACAATGCAGGGAAAGTCATCCATACATCACAAGGGGCGCATCCCAGCCGGAGAGACCTTTTGAACGTTTGATGGTGGATCTCATTGAGCTTACACCTGCTGAAGGGAAAATATATGCACCTGTGGCCATGTTCAGCAAATGGGTTGAAGTGTTTCCAGCTAAACCAGGGGTGGGCAACTCTGGGCCTGGAGAGCCACTGTCCTGCAGGTTTTAGAGGTTTCCCTGCTTCTACACACCTGATTCACATCAACACAACATCAGCAGTCCTGTTCAGAGCTGGAGCTCCTTTAGAGGAGATCAGTTTGATGTGAATAAGGTGTGTAGAAGCTGGGAAACCTCTAAAACCTGCAGGACAGTGGCTCTCCAGGCCCAGAGTTGCCCACCCCTGAGCTAAACACGCCAACGGCCATGCTGTGGCCCAAGCTTTGCTGACCCACATCATTCCAAGATGGGGAATTCTGGAGGAAATCAGCAGCCATAATGGTACACACTTTGTGAATGCAGCAGTGGCTGCGGCTGGTAAGTGTTTGGGAATGAAACTGCGCACACACTGTGCCTATCATCCACAAAGTACAGGTGCAGTGGAGAGGGAAAACGGCTCTCAGAAGACTAAGTTGTCTAAATGTTGTGATGAGACAGGTCTGCCATGGAAACGACAACTTCCAATTGTGCCTCCCTACATAAGAATGAGGAAAAGGACACGTGCCAATCTCAGTCCTTTTGAAATATTTTTTGGCAGACCTCCAAACCTGGGAATGGGACCTGTAACCAGGACCCTCGCGTCCACCTCTCCTTGTGACGATGCAATGTTAAGATAAGTTGTTTATCTATTGATAATTTACATTGATTATTTGTAAATACTGAATGTGTCATTTCATTATTATTATACTGACATCTGTTGATGGAGTATTGCACCAAACACGGCCTGATCATGCGCTGAGTGCACGACAGCTGAAGAGATGCACGTTGTTGGAGGCAACAGGGAAAGGATTATTTTGGAACTTCGCTTTTAAACCTAAAATATGGTCAATAACATCTCCTAAATGTTTGGTCAGAAGATGCACACGGTATGTTTATTTATTTTATTCTGTAAAATAACTTTATTTTGGTTCTAAATGTTTATTAGCCAACACCGTTGATATTGTTGTAAACAGTTTTCATGGTGTTTGCCAGCAGAAGATATGCGCCGCCAGAAAAAGAATAAAGGCTATTAAACACAGTGAACATCATTGGGAGCGTGGCTTTTATTCTGCACCAGATGAAGACCTTTGGGAGTGGTTCTAGTCTTACTGTGGAAACCTCTCCACTGTTCTTTCTCAAAAACCCACAGAAGATCTCCATGGGGACAAAGATCAACCAGACCAGACCACCGTGAAGAAGAACAAAGATGAGTAAACGGTGAAAGTTTTTGTCAGGATGGGGTCAGTTGTGATGTTGTACATGATTGAGTTATGTTTTTCCTCCCCTAGGGTCAAAGGTCAGATCGCATCATATGATTTGCGCCATAAGCACCAGCTTGGGGATATCTCTGAGGACAAATGGGTAAATCTCTTACCATTATCTTTGGTTAAGAATAATACGTGGTATCAACTTGCTAATTACAGTGCGAGATCAGTTAGCAATAAGTCTTGCATTGTTTGTTTATTGTTGTTGTTTATTTATTTGGATCCCCATTAGCGGTCAGTAATTTGACAGCTACTCTTCCTGGGGTCCTTTTAAAATTATACAGATTCACAAAACATATCAAATGATCACATCATAAGAACAACTATACATTTCAAATCATTTCACTTTACAGTACAATCTGTTACACAAATATTCATATATTAAGGCTTTCAACAAAGTATTTTTTTAAAGTCTTTTGAATGCACCTTTCGTAGTAGCAGTCAGATGTGATGAGGCAGTTTGTTCCACAGAGTCTCAGCTCTGAACAGCACAGACCTGAACTCTAACCCTAACCCTA